GGGTCCAGAGCAAGGCTAGGCATCCTATGGCTCATGTCAGATATAGCCCAGTGGCTAGGTCCACTCCAGAATGCTCAATGGTGTGGGCTTAAAGCCTCCGTTCCCCTATTCTCAATCAGGGTAAAGTTTTCTTTCCTTTCCCAGGAGAACGGGAACTCAGGTACTCATCTGAAACAGGTCTGACCCTGATTGCAATCCCATGCTGCAAATCTCATCTCACAGTGTGCCAAGAACCAGGGTACTGCCGAAACCGGTTTGGCTCAGTAGTACAGTGTTGGTCTGCAGACTGAAAGGTCCCGGGTTCGATTCTGGTCAAGGGCATGTACCTTGTTTGCAGGCACATCCCCGGTAGGGGGTGTGCAAGAGGCAACTGGTCAATGTTTCTCTTTCATCAACATTTCTAGCTATCTCTTTCCCTTCCTCTCTGTAAAAAATCAATAAAATATATTTCCCTGTGGACCAGCCAACTCCTGGGCCTTTTGAGACCCCATCCTTCACTCTCCTCTGTGGGTGGGACACACCACAAGTGGTCTATCAGCAGTGGTTGACCAGGACAAGGCTTGGGCCACAAATAAAACTGCTTCCAGTGTTTGGCCAGACTGTTGATAACAGCAAGCCTAAAAACTGTTTCTTCTCTTTTTTTCAAATATATTTTTACTAGAGGCCTGGTGCACAAAATTCATGTACTGGGGGAGGGGTCCCTCAGCTCAGCCTGGCCCCTTTCACAGTCTGGCAGCCCTCAGGGGATATCCTACTGATGGCTTAGGCCCACTCTTCCTGGCGAGCTGACCTAAGTCACAGTCTGCAGGAAGCAACTGGGATGATCAGGGGAAGGCGCCACCCCCACCACTCCACTGCTGCTGCCACTGGCAGCCAACACAGCCAGTCCCTTCACCACAAAAAAATGACAACTTTCTTTCGGCATTTTCAAGATGTCTCTTTCATAGGATATGTTCGTTCTTTCTTTCTTTCTTTCTTTCTTTCTTTCTTTCTTTCTTTCTTTCTTTCTTTCTTTCTTTCTTTCTTTCTTTCTTCTTTCATCTTCATCTGAGGATATTTTTCCATTGACTTTTAGAGAACGTGGAAGAGAGAGAGAAAAACAAAGTGAGAAGTACACTTCTATTGGTTGCCTCCTGCATGAGCCCTGACCTGGAGCCCGGTCAGGGAGAAGCCTGCAACCTAGGTACATGCCCTTGATCAGAATTGAACCTGGATCCTGGGGTCCGCAGGCCGAGGTTCTATCCGGCTAGGGCAGGATTTGACATTTCTTAGGCCCTCCAGCAGCAAACATTCATTTTTTTTCCTCCAGGAGTGTGGTGGAAAAACCCTAGATCACCCTCTTGGATTATTATCCAAGTTACCAAGAACACTGTGAGTGGTGTACAGGGAGCTTAGCCAATGAGGGGTCAGAAAAGCTGTTTCCTTTGCAGCTAGCACACAGAGGCGGGATTGCTGGTGCACTGTCTCCCAGTAAGGGCTGGCCCGCCTGTGTGTTGTGTGTCTGCTCCAGCCCTGCCCTGGCCTGGAGCAGACACACAACAGATAGGAGCAGGCTCACCTATGTGTTGCGTCTTCGCTCTGGGCCATCTGCACATGCAGCCTCCTCCTGAGCCAGTCGTGATTGTTATGGCATCCTGGTATTATTTATATATATCTCAGAGAGGAGAGAGAGAGAAACATCAATGATGAGAATCATTGATCGGCTGCCTCCTGCACACCCCCTACTGGGGACCAAGCCCACAACTTGGGCATTTGCCCTGATTGGGAATCTAACCATGACCTCCCAAGTTCGTAACTCAGTGCTCAACTACTGAGCAATACTGACTGGGCTGATTATCCATTTCTCTCTCACTTTTTAAATATATTTTTATTGAGCTCTTGCTGGTTTGGCTCAGTGGATAGAGCATTGATCTGCGGAGTGAAAGGTTCCAGGTTTCATTCTGGTCAAGGGTACATGCTAGGGTTGGAGGCTCCATCCTCAATAGGAGATAGAGATATATATATATTGATCTCAGAGAGGAAGGGAGAGGGAGAGAGAGATAGAAACATCAATGATGAGAGAGAATCATTGATCGGCTGCATCCTGCATGCCCCCTACTGGGGATGGAGCCCATAATCCTTGACCAGAATCAAACCCAGGACCCTTCACTCCACAGGCCAATGCTCTATCTACTGAGCCAAACCACTAGGGCTGGTTACCCATTTCTATTAGGATCATGTTTTTGTGGGAAATTTTGCACAAGGATGATGTTAAATAATTAAAAAATAAGTTTTCTTTCCAAGTAAAGCTAGTATATCTCAGTAATCCTATGTAGCTTAAATTAGATTTTATTAGATCAGGGATCATGGCATAGTTTATAATCTCTCAGAATCATCAGGAAGTTATTATTTGCCATTTATAAAACTTTACTGACATTAACAACATGAACATTTTCAATTTTGATAAAGTGACTAAGCATTTATGTTATTATTCCTATCAGTTTGAATCTTTCAATCTTCTAAGGCATCATCTTTTTCAAAAAAAAAAAAAAATCCTATTTCTTAAGATTTACTTTATTTATAAATGCTGTTCACAACCTGGGCTGCTTCTTGGTTTATAAGCAGATTCTCAACTTCACCTGTACCTTGAACTTGTACTTCAGTGCATAAGCCCCAGAGCTGTTCATGGGAGACTCCGCCATCATGCATAAGCCATCAGATCGCTGGAGCCCAGGGCTTTCTCTGCCCTCATTTGCTTACTTCTCAGCTGTTGATTACTTTGTCCTGCACTCACTTTTATGATGGTTATTTTTTTCTTTCCAGGTAGCCCTTTTAAAGTAATCTCCATGGCATACATGAATATTTTACTCAAAAGCTTCTTTCACATCTGAAATATTTTAATCTGCTTTCCATTGTGTTTGCTTTATTCTCAGTGACTTCTAAAAATTCACCAATAGGCCTTACTTATTTAACTCCGTGAAAGAAGTTTTTTTTTTTTTTTTTTGCTTCTAAAACCTGATTCTAAGAGTTCTGCCAATCTGGGTCTTTCCTCATGTTCTTAGGGACTGTGCATCTTGGAAGGTAGTAAGATGGAAAATTTGGCATGCTTTGTCTAAACAGGTTGGAGTTTATTTAGCAGTTGTTCCTGATACTGAAGTAGAAATTTAAAAATAAAAATGTTGGAAACATAGGAAATGTCTTAAAGGTCAAATGCCTCCCCCATCCCCGTTCTTTAGTGAGCTCCTTTAAAAGAAGGCTAGTTCCCATCAGCGATGCCTCCCCACTCTTTTTCTCATTTAAATCACAGACAGTCTGGTTTTCACCAAATTAAAGCAAATCAACCTAGTAAGGCACAGACTGACTTTTATTTACTGGCTGTAGTTCTAAGGACCAGAAATGGGCAAAGGAGCACAAACAAAGAAAAAGGAAAAATGAGGCATTGAAGGGGAGCCAGCTTTGGGTTTGGAAAGGATGAGGCTTCCGTGGCGGCAGGATGTGCCTTTCTTGCTCTGTTTACTCTGAGCTCAGAAATAGAGGAGAAAGAAGGTAGATCACGCTACAGCCTGAAAGGGATACAAAACATACCAGGGCATAGAGTGTAATCAGACACTGGATGTAGTTATGCAAATGTATGTGGAATAAATCGTCTGCTGCAGCCTTAATTCTCAAGGTTAAAGTAAGCGGAATGGCACAGGGACTTGACTCTAGCAGCAGTGGAAAAATGCTGTGCTTTACTCTTTGCACCGAAATGTATGTTGAACCCCCATCAAATGAGCTTTGAATCTTAAAGACTATTAGGACTTTTCTTCCTTCCTGGGGTGGCACCACCTTGCTCTGGATGGGGAGGGGGAGGAAGTGTTAGTTTGAGGATGAAGATGGCATGGTTGTTTTTAGTCTCTTCACCCTAGTGGTGCTTCAGGCTAGTTGTGTGTTTATTTTATTTTTAATTAAACTTTACCTGGGATATGTTTTAATGGTAAGAATTTGCAGGCTTTGCTTTTAAAGAAGGAAATGCTTGAATTTGCTTAGGAGAAAAATGTGCTTTCTGCTTTCTTTATAGAATAAATTGAGAATTTCAAACATATTTCTGAGGGCCCTGGGCACAACCATCTGATTAGAATGCTAAGATACAGTCAGCGTTCGCAGGTGGTTTTCTTTGCAAGAACATAGATAAAATACTGTGGATTGTGACTATGAAATATTTGTACTAGCAAACCGCTGATGTGAGTATTACATGCCTTGGAGCATGGCACAGCGCAGTGAAGGTTTTTTTCTTATTCACTGGTCTATTAAGAGAACACACTGGAGTGTTTTCTTTTCACTAAGACACTTAAGAGTAGCTGTATTACATATAAATGATTCAGCCAATGTCTCAAGTACTTATCAGACATTCATTTTACCTCTGCAAGCATCGATTGAGCTCCCAGATTGTCCAAAGCACTGTTATGAGAAAAGCAGATGTGGACGAGATGGTGCAGAGGCATGTGACCAATATTTAGGAATGGGTGAGCAAATAGCAGCTCACCATCGCTGGAATGTGCGTGGTGGCTGCTGCGAGGCTGGAGAGGAGAGGAAGGCTGGGAAGACTTTCTGTGGTCGCCGAGCTACATAGCCTGGCCCTCGGGTGCAGGCAGCCCCTGCGAAGGACTGGGTTTCGGAGCCCTCAGGCTGCAGACCCACCCTCGGTTGGTCAGATGGGGCAGTCTGGCCAACCTGAGAGAGGAAGATCTAGAAACTGCCTTGTCGTGTGCCTGAGAGGACCTTTTATGTTATTAACCAAAAGCCACTTCCTGAGTGTGGTGCGTTGTTCATCCCAGTTACATTTTCAGCAGTGCCTTTATGTTAAGGGTGGCATTTCATTGTAGGCACTTTGATGTGCAACCCAAACACTTCCCCTTCCTTCTCTGGGTTCTGTGCATCCAAGCTAGGAAGGTAAAACGTTTGCAAAATGTTCCTTCATTTTCTTATGGTTGTTTACTTTTTAAAAAAAACTTAGGTGCCTTGTTTCGCTTTTCTCTTAGGGCAAAAGAAACAGTGGTTTCAGACAGTGCTTCTTCGGGAGCCAGAAGCACTGCAAGCTGACGAAGCTTTGCCCAGCGATGGGGTACACGTTCAGGCTGGCTGCTCGGAACGACATCGGCACCAGGTATGACGTTCCCTCGTCCTCGTCTGCGTGGCGGTTCTGAGTCTCCCCGACACGCCCTGGAGGGCACAGGAGCGCCCGCTGCCTCCACACGGAACCAGTTTGAGCCTTTTCAAGAGGGAATGTTAACCAGAGAGTACAAGGCCCCTTCTGAGGAGATCATGCCGCTGTGCGGCCTCTTTGCAGTCTTGCAAGCTGTAACACAAAGGCCCCCACGAGGGGCTCTGTGAACCAGGTGGAGGTAATAGTGCAGATATTGAAAGGAATCCCTCTTGGAGTGTTTTTGGTTTTGAGGTCATGTGCCTTTTTTTTTTTTTTCTTTAATCACTTTAGCAAGCTCCTCTTCTGTTGCCTTTTTCAATTATATGTGAGTATTCCCTGATACAAAGAAAGAGGTGCTGGGCCAGCATTGTTGACAAAGCGGAGGGTAGATACCAGATTGGGGAAAATCTGACTGGCTGGACGCAAGGCTCAGAGGCGGCAGAAGAAAGACAAGGGCAGGTGGAGAGTGAGGCCTCAGTGGGTCCAAGATGCTTTGAAAAGATCGTATTTTAGTTGCACTTCCTGGGCAACTTGATTAAGGGAAAAGTCTTTTTCTTTCGTCACTGCTTGTGGAAAAGCCTAAAGGCTCAGCGCATCATTGGCCCTCAGCCTCTTTTCCAGCCTAAAATCTTAGCATCGCGAGGTTTCACAGCCTGCCCTGCCCACCCATGCTCGCCACTGTGTGGTTAAAAAGTCATAGCAATCAAGGCTTCCATGGTTCAAGAGTTTGTAAATGATTGGAAGCACCCACAAGCTTCTGAAACATAGCACTGGATATGTTTGTAAAACATTTATCTCACCGACGGACGTCATTTGTGCTCACACTGATTCCAGGTTCCTGGTAGCTGTGGCTCACAGCCTGGTAAACATTGCACGACCTGGTGCTTTCTACAAGGTGCTTTGGGGGAAAACAAATTCTTACCTCCATTGTCCTGTAACGAGGTGTGCTTTTTTAGCATCAGGCTGAAGGGGGGGAGGGGGGATGACGCATTGGCAAATCAAAGTTGTGGTAGGAAATATCTCACAATGCCTTTCTTTACTGGCTAAACCTGTCAGGCCCAGGCTTTGCAACACAAGCAGCTTGGGCAGAGGGAAGCTTACCGTCCTCGTGTGGATTCGCTCCTAAGCTGTGTGTCCCTGGGCTTGTTTCTCGGCAGTGGTTACAGCCAGGAGGTGGTGTGCTACACGTTAGGGAACATTCCTCAGATGCCCTCTGCGCCGAGGCTAGTTCGAGCCGGGGTCACCTGGGTCACGCTGCAGTGGAACAAACCAGAAGGCTGTTCACCGGAGGAAGTGGTCACCTACACCTTGGAAATCCAGGAGGATGAAAATGTAAGCTTTGGCGATTTCATACGCTTGCGAGTGTTCTGTGGGAGTCAGTATTGTCATAACCACAGGACACCATGAAATTAGATGAGCTACATAAATTCAAAACCAAACCCTTAATTTCTACCCCTACGACCACCACCACCACCGCCAGCCTATCTTTTCCCACCTCTCTGAATGGCAGCTCCCCTTTCACTTGGGGAACTCAAAACCCTTGCAAACATTCTTGACTCCATATATTAAAAGTTAACATCCTTTTAAAGCCTCCTTCAGTGATTATTCTTAAAGCTCACTATTTCTCTATCTCTCCCCAGCTATTATTACTCTTTTACAAGCCACCATCACTCACCCCTGGATTACTATGATGGCTTCTGTAGTATTTTACCTGCCTTCCCTGACTATACCTGCCTCTGTCCTCCCCAGGAAGCAGAGTGATCCTCTTAGATAAGAGGAGGTCATGTCAGTGCTGTGCTCAGAGCCCTTCCCCACCTTGGTGCTGTCCTGTGTCTTCAAAGTAAAAGCCTAAGCACTTACAGTGCCCACACGCCCCATGCTACGGAGCCTTTGTTCCTGCCACTGTCCTCTCAGAGAGCACACCAGGCGTGCCCTGGCCTCAGGGCCTTTGCACCGCCTAAGCCTGGCAGCTAGCGTGCCCTTCCTGGTAGCGCTGACTCACTTCCTCGTTTCCATGAAGTCTCTTCTCACACGTCACCTCTTTCAGGAGCCCCTTCCTGGAACAGTGACGTCTGATCCAACTTTCCATGACGATAAAAATGTCCTATACGCCGAGACCGGTTTGTCTCAGTGGATAGAGCGTCGGCCTGCGGACTGAAGGGTCCCAGGTTCAGTTCCAGTCAAGGGCATGTACCTTGGTTGCGGGCACATCCCCAGTGGAGGGTGTGCAGGAGGCAGCTGATTGATGTTTCTCTCTCATCGATGTTTCTGACTTTCTATCCTTCTCCCTTCCTCTCTGTAAGGAATCAATAAAATATATATATATATATATATATATTTTTTTTTTTTAAATGTCCTATAGTTTGTGCTGCTCAATACGGTAGTGCCTAATCCCACTATTGAGCATTTGAAATTTGGCTGTGGGCCCAAGGAACTGAATTTTTACTTGTATTTAATTTAAATTTAAAGAGCCGCATGGTGGCCCAGCTGGGTCGGCTCAGTGGTTGAGCGTTGACCTAAGAACCAGGAGGTCACAGTTCAATTCTCATCAGGACACATGCCTGGGTTTCCGGCTCAGTCTCCAGTGTGAGGCATGTAGAGGCAGATAATCAATGATTGTCATCATTAGTGTTTCTATCACTCTCCCTTCCTCTTTGAAATTAATAATTTTTTTTTTTTTAAAGAGCTACATTGTGGCTGTCATATTGAACCTGCACTGCTATGGAAAGCACCTTGCTAGGTTCACCATTCCATCCTTTTACCCAGCTTAATGTTTTTGTCATAACACTTAACACTATATGGCAAACTTCATTTTATGTTTAGTTTTGTTTGTGTGTTTGTTTTCTTAGTCACTTTCTCCAACTGTCATGTAAGCTTCTATGGGCAGGGCTTTGTTCTTGGGCAGTGTTGACCCCATACAGCATAGAAAAGAGAGCCTGATCCATAGACGTGCTCAGTGATAGGGATGGATGAATGGATGGATGGATGCATGGATGGATGGATGGATGGATGGACGGATGAGAATACTGTGGAATGAATCCTCTTAAAAGGATCATGCCTTCCCCATCCAAGCTGTCCTTTCGCCCTTGGCCAGGAGAGGACACTGTGGTCTGAAATCTCAGGCACAGCTCACATAGCTCATTGCAGCTCCACCGTGCAGACCTCAACACAAGAGGCTTTTTCCATGACAGCATTGTGAAATAACTTTTTAAGTACCTGCTGCTTTGTAACAAGTACCATTTGGTGGTTATGTTTTTTTTTTGTTTAAAATGCTTATTGAGTAACCAGGAAAATTTGTTCTGAAGGAAAGCATTTGGTGACACTGCTCCAAAGCAAATTTACACTCCCTCAGAGAGCATTGTTCTCATTTAAGTTAGTGTCAGCCTCACGATAAAGTGGAACAGATCCAGGAGGAAGTACAGGGGGATAGTGTTACGTTTTACCTAAAGCTGGAATGCTGGCCACAGCACCAAGGGCTCCTAACCCTTGTTTGCAAGTAGCTGCCTGACCTCTGGCCTGCCAGTGATGCAGAGAGAGGCGACATAAAAATCCTACATACACAGATATTTAGTGCCCAGGTTTGATGGTACTGATGTTTTTTTTTCTGGCTTTGCCTTTTCAGGATAACCTTTTCCACCCAAAATACACTGGAGAGGATTTAACCTGTACTGTGAAAAATCTCAAAAGAAGCACACAGTATAAATTCAGGGTGAGTCAGTCATTTTGGTACCTGAACTGCTTTAAAAAGAAGCTCTTTTTTATGTTTCGCCCACTTACGTTTCAAATTGACTCTCTAGGTTAAAAAAAATGTTTTACGTTTGAAGCGTATACATTTTTGAAGTAACATTTACAGATTGCACACCAGATTTCCATTTTGAATCTACTTTTGAGAGGGAGGCAGTGGCTGCTGTAGTAAGTTGTATCACAGCATGGCCAGGTGGCCTCGCCCGGGAAGGCCCACACTCAGCGCACCTGTCTCTCACCTGCACGGCACACCCTTCTCTTTGCTGTTTCCCCTTTTCACTGGATTTCTCTTTTATTCTCCACTTCTCTTCGCTCTTCTGCCCTTTATTTTTTCTCAGCCGTTTCTATTTTTCTTTCTCCCTTGGGCTCTTGCATTGGTTAATAGCCAGCATTAATGTCACTGTAGGACTTTGTGTCATAGCCACAAACGCTGCTTTGCCATCGTTGAGAGAGGAAACCGGGTGCTGCAGCACTGCTTGTTGACCCTGTGCGCAGCCTGTTTTCTGTTAGGACACTGCCTTTTGGAGAGAGGAGGTTCCCTCGCCCCTTCTCTAATTGGGGGTCAGATGGTGTTACCTGGCATGTAATAGTCACTCAGTAAGCAGCTGTCAGAGTATCAAGTGAAGGTTGATAGTTTGAGGAAAAGGGTAGTTTTTTATTATTTTAAGGAACCCTTGCTTTTGGTATTTGATGCTGGCTGTGAGAACATGGCTACACTACTAGCATTTCTCCACAAGGTGGCACTGTCTTACTCTTAAACAATTGAGGTTATTTTTATCTGCTTGCTGCCCTAAAACAATGCCAGTAAGGTGGTGATATACTACTGGCTTTGTTTTGTGTCTTCTTGAAAAGGTAAAAATGTCCTTAGCTAAAACCCGCCTTATATTAAATTGTTAATAGCCAACTATACAGAAAATAAGTACTTCATAGAGAAACACAAATCAGTAGATTGAGATAGAGAAAATGTGTGTGTGTGTGTGTGTGTGTGTGTGTGTGTGTGAGAGAGAGAGAGAGAGAGAGAGAGAGAGAGAGAGAGAGAGAGAGAGAGAGAGAAGGGGGGGGGAGTGATTATGGATGCCGTGATCTGGTCATGTTAAAAATCACCATTGCTTTAATGGCTGATGTCTAACGCGTGTTAATGTTATCTCGGTTGTGGTACAGCTAACTGCCTCTAACATGGAAGGGAAAAGCTGTCCGAGCGAAGTTCTGGTGTGTACGACAAGTCCCGACAGGCCTGGGCCGCCAACGCGACCCCTCGTTAAAGGACCAGTGACGTCGCATGGCTTCAGTGTCAAGTGGGGTATGTTTTGCTGCTATTGCTTCTTTTGGACAGATTCTTTTAAATGTATTCATTTCAGTAGTGACAAACCAAAATAAAAAGGCAGTATTACTTGCAGGAGTTTTACACATTTGGAATGAGCATATGAGAAATATCCAGAGAACTTCACAAATTGGTAAACGGACAATTCAACAGCATCTCACTTTCTGATTTTCCTGTGTTACATGGTTTTCCTTCTATATCTTTAATGTGTTATTGATTTGAATGTAGTAATCTCTGAATATGTATTTCATTCTTCAATAGCTTGCCCTTAAGAAAGTCATAGTTAATGTAAAAAAATTGTTTTGTAAAATTGATATTGAAGATAAATTTCAAAATTTAGGTATGTTGTCATGAGTAAATTTTGACATACAAAATGTTCAAGTTAATATGAATTAGGAAAACTTCATGGTTTTTTGTGTGTATGTGTGTTTTTGACATTTGTATGCAATCAGAGGCTGTGAATTTCAGGAATTATTCATATGAAGTTCACTATATAGTCTTTGGGAACATCAGGTGGAAAGAGATTGTGGCTCACCTCTATTTCTATTATGTCAGTGAAATGAGTGCTATTAGAATGTTGAAAAACATTTGCAATTATATGTAAAACATTTATGATACATATAATTATCATTAGCTACCTAAAAGGAAAAAAAAACAACAACAGTAGAAATTTAAGATTTTTACCTGTAATGTAAAGGGAATTTAAAATCTTATTAAGTCATTATTGGAGACCAACCACTGAGACATGTAACTGTTTCAAGTTACCTAGTAATTTTGAGACATAATTATTAAGGTATGTATTTCCCTGAAAGATTGATATCTTTAAGAGAAAATATAAAAATCTAGATGTGCTTTTTGCCAGACTATAAAGCTTTCTTCTCAGAAAATCCTAGAAAGTTTTGTTCACACCAATATTTACTTTTATTAGCCATATGCTATAATGTTTAACTTTATAATTATTGTTTTAAATATCTATTATTGGAGTCTGTATTCATTAATGGAAATAGCAGGTGAAGAGAGAGAGGCAAAATTCCTAAATCTATATGTCAGTAATCTGAGGGTACATCTAAAATACAGATAGTAGAGGTAAGTTCTGCGTAGACTTGCAAAATTACAATGCAAGAAATGTTTCTGCTCAGAAAAGAGAATTCTTGCAGGCAGTTGGGAGTGGACTAAATACCCACAGTGCCACAGGGCTCTGGGAGTAAGCCAGGGCCTCTTCCTCAAACCCCTCTTTAGTGCACATCCTCATTGATCCACAACTGTGGCTTCCCATCAGTTTCAGTTGGGATATAAAGTTTGCTCAGTAGCAAACTGTGGTGGAACAGATAGATTTATTATATCCTGACATTTTATTTATTTTGTCAATGAATTTTGCACTTCTCTTTCCTTCATCCTCCATCTCTCAGAAGAATCTGGTCAGTGATAATATCAGTGAAATAAAAAAATATATATAAATATTTCAATTTATATAGAAATTACTAGATTATTAAAAAGCAAGTTTCAGTATTTTTGAAGTAAATGTGTTAACATAACTTAGAAAAATTAGTTCATATTTTGAATTTTGCTCATGTTTTACTAAATGAACGCTTATTGCCATTTCTAGCTCTAAAGAAGTTTGAATAATCTAATAGTATTTAAGGTTCTTTGGTTTTTAGGTTCTTTTTTTTATTACAGGAGTTGTGGGAAATAATATTAACTGTTTAAATGCAGAATTGAGTTAGTGTAATACATAATTTTACATGTTCGTTTGCTTACTTTCCAGATCCTCCAAAGGACAATGGTGGTTCAGAAATACTCAAGTACTTGCTGGAGATTACTGATGGCAATTCTGAAGGTCAAGTTTTGGGAATGGTTTATTCAAATCCAGTAACAACCCTATTTGCTAATATGATAAACATCTATATACAGGAATGGTGGGGTGGCATTAATTCTAATGATAGAGCTATTAATATAAAGAAACCTTAATCACATATTGATAGTTTTTCTCCTTCAAACACAGCATTTTTATCATGCTTTAAAATTCTCTGTATTATTTCTTTAACCCAGAGTTCCTAACTAAGAGACTACTTCAAACTTAGTTTTTCTTCCCTTCTTGGGACACACTTTCTCTGGAAATTCTTATAAGCAGAGAATCAGAAGCAATCAGCAGGAAGGGTAAAGTGGAGGTAGCCGAATAGTGTGGCAATCTACAAATTCCTACGTACAATGATGACAGACAAAATAAGAGTATTGCTGTAGCAAGTGTAGAAAATGTTCTTCCCATATTTGTTGTGATTTCTGAGTCAGATTATTTATACATGTCATAATATGTGGATTAAAGTTAGACAATGTTGGATATTGAATTTCTTAAGTCACGTTTTTGTAATTTAAAAAAATTTTTAGCTTTTTCTAATAAAATTCATTAGGCTTTAATAGAAAAAAAGCGTCATCAGAATTAAAAATGATTTCTCTCATCATTCTAATAATCCTTGTACTCATTATCTTAATAAAAATCTGTCTGTGGCCAAAAAAAAAGTTAATGGTAACTTTTACAAACAAATACATCCAGGTGTGTGGCTTGCCCTTTATTCTGTACCAAAAAAAAAAGTTAATAGTAACTTTTACAAACAAATACATCCAGGTGTGTGGCTTGCCCTTTATTCTGTACCACAATAACCACCTGGAGTGCTTTGGTTTTTCACATGAACAAGGTCCTATTTTAAGCTAAAAAAAAAAAAACTAAAAAAAACCCTGAAAATGCTTTGAGATGGGCACAGCTGTTGTTAGCATAAACTCACCTGTTTACATTGGAAACCCTATAGGACAGTGGTCGGCAAACTGCGGCTCTGTTGACTAATGAGTTTGCCAACCACTGCCTTAGGGAAAAACACTTAAAAAACATTTTAATAATGTACTAATGTCTTTAACCTGAAGTCAAAACTTCTGGGTAAGGGTAATGCCTTACACAGTGGTCAGCAAACTCATTAGTCAACAGAGCGGCAAACTTCAGCTCTCGAGCCAATCTGCAGTTTGCCGACCACTGCTCTAGGAGATGAGGCCCCTGTGTGTATGCAGTGGCTCATGGTGAAAACCTAAGTACATTTTGAATTTTCTCGGCTCTCTTGACCACTGATGACAAAGCAAAAGTAGATGCCAGTCTCTCCTTCAAGCCCTCAGTTTTGCTGGTGCATACAGTGGTGATTAACGAATCTTAGTAGTGGTCCTTGTTCCCGGTTACCTTTTTAGTATAGGTTTTATAATCAGCAATGTCAGGGTAATTAATTTAATATTCTCCCTTTTGGGGGGGCCTTAGTGCATGTAACTTAATTGTAAATCTAACTGGATAAGCAACTATGGGAATTTGTGGAAGTTTCTTTAGTAAATATTACAGAACAGGGTAAGACATTTCCCTAACTTCATGGAGTAAAATAGTCAACTGGAAATGTAGCATTAGTGAGAGCAGAACAGAAGGAAAAACTATCCCAGCAGCTCAACTTGGGGAGGCCAGCAGTCGGTGGAAGCACCCAGACTCCTCCGTGGCCCTGCTCGCTCTTTAATCCCAAGAAGTGGTCAGGGAACTGCATCGCCTACTGAGTGTTTCCTCTTTAGTTGGTTACACTCTCGGGCATTTTTGTCTTTTAAGTGGAGCTCCATGAAGATAGCAGGCCTTTACCCAGAGGACTCAGTGTGCAATGGGAGGACCAACCAGAACCTCAAGGCTGAGCAGCCTTCCCCTGCCCAGCGGCCCCAAGGTCTCACCAGAAACATCTCACTGCTTCCCTGCCACTGTTCTGCTCCTTCACCACTCCCCCTCCCCCAGCCAACCTCAGAGGTTGTGTGGTTTCAGCGTCTAACCGCTCAGTCAGAAAATGTAATAATGTGATATTAAGTTGTCTAGCCAGCAGTACTAAGTATTAAAAATGACTCCATGATACTTTAATATTTAACTTTGTAAAGGAAATGGAAAGAGAGCCCTCTAGCTCATAAAAAAGAGAATAGGAGACACTAGTGTTTATGGAAACACTTAAAGTGTTTTGTTTTCAGTTAGTGGTTATTACTACTTACCTTTTTACCAAGGACATAAACTCACACAGAAGTCTTGTTTTACAGCAGGTCAGTGGGAAGTGGCATACAGTGGATCGGCTACAGAATACACGTTCAGCCACTTGAAACCAGGCACTTTGTACAGACTCCGAGCATGCTGCATCAGCACCGGTGGACACAGCCAGGTTGGTTTTGTTATGGTATACATTTCAGTCAGCATCTTTGGTCAGCCTCAGACAACCTGTCAATAACATCAGAATAAAATTGCTATTGAAAAATGTATCTTGGTAGTGTCATCTGCTATGGCATCCCAGGAGGAAATGCAAAACTAGGGTTTTTTTAATTGTGTTTTAGAAGACATAAAAGATAGGCCCATCAATGTCATGAATCCTCAGAGAGATACAAATTAAAACCACAGTGAGATATCACCTCACTCCTGGCAGAATGACTGTTATCAACACAACAAGTGCTGGCAAGGATTATGAGAAAAGGGAACGCTAGTATACCACAGGTGAGAATGCAGATTGTGCAGCCACTGTGGAAAGCAGTATGGAGTTACCTCAAAAATTAAAAATGAAACTGCCTTTTGACCCAGGGATTCCGCTTCTGGGAATATATTCAAAGAAATTCAAAACATTGATTTGAAAGAATATATGCACCCCTGCATTCATTGCAGAGTTATTGACAATAGCCAAGATTGGGAAGCAGCCAAGTGGCCATCAGTAGATGAGCGGTTAAGAAAGCTATGGTACATTTATACAATGGAATACTACTCAGTCATAAAAAGGAAGTCTTTGCGACAGCAAAGACTGGGGAACATACGCTAAGTGAAATAAACCGTCTGAGAAAGACAAGCGCGATATGACTTCACTTACATGTGGAATCTAATGAACAAAATAAAGTAACAAAATAGAAACAGACTCATTGATAACAGGGAACAGACTGACAACTATCAGAGGGGAGAGGGGTTGCAGGGCTGGGTGGAAAAGGTGAAAGGATTAAGCAAAAAACAAACAAAAACTCATGGACACAGACAACACTGTGGTGATTACCAAAGAGAAAGAAGGATGGGGGAGGTAGAAGATGGTAAAAGAGAGATAAAAGGTGGTGGAAGGAGACTTGATTTGGGGTGGTGAACATACAATATAGTATACAAATGATGTGTTATAGAATTGTACACCTGGAACCTGTCTCAGTTAACTAATGTCACCCTAATAAATTCAATTTTATAAAGAAAAGAATAAAAGAGAGGCCCAGATAATTCTCAACTGAATTTTGATATTTTTATATTTGTCAATTATTCTTACAATTTTATATATGTCCGTTTTAGCTAAATAAGGGAAACTTCTGTTATTGCAATGACAGAAAAAGTTAGAATTTAGAATAAAAAGGAGAGACTTCTTGCACAGTTCCCTGGCAATTTTGTGAGAATGAGACACACCTTCTTGAAGGAACTTTACTGCCATCTGCTGGAGAGTTCCTGTAAAAACCATATCCACCTGTGATAATTGAAGGGCACCTCCTGCAGTTGTGCACCGCCCAACTTACGCATCTGTAGGCAGCAGCTGGTTTCTTGTTTTCTATTTATATGACTTCACACCAGCCAGTTCATGGGTTGAAAGCCTTGGTTTCAACCACAGTGTTCTCAGAGGCTCAAAATAACCTAGTAGATACACAAGAAGTGCTCTGGAAGTGAGATAACCGTTGTCTAAATGGCTTTAACTCACATTCAAAAAGTGAGGGACAAGATGGTAATGACATTTTTGTTGTTGAGATACTGAATATTATAATTTAAAACCATTAATATTGAGAAAGAGGGAGGATATTGAGAGATGATGACTTGTAGACCTGTGCTGGGTTGACTTTTCAAGAGAACGCCTGTCATTTGGGTGCTTAATTTTGCCCATCAATTCATCTCCAGTATTGTACTATTTTTCTCTCTCCAAAGAGCAGTAGTGTAATGTGCAGATGGACAGACCCCTTGGGAAAAGGAGTTCAGTTAGACAATGCTTATGCAGAGCTCTCTGAAGTGTCTCCCAGGATGGGGTAGGTCACACATAGCCACTGAATATCAGCAGGCACCTCCTGGGGAGGTTGGGGGGCCTTTGCCCGTGGCTCATAAGGCAGAGGTACCTCTCTGCACTGCTTCTCAGGAAGGAGTTTGGTCAGGCGACATGGTTCTGCCTTGTTCTCTCCTGTCTCAGAAAGGGGTTCAGCTTCCACACCACCAGCCTTCGCAACCAGTTCCTGTAGAAAGATGGCCTACTTATTTTAGCATTAATAGAACCTGCTGGCTAATGTCACACTCAGCTGATTAATAATGAGTCTGTTTGCTTTTCTGCTCTGGATGTGGATGGTTGGCCATTTATGGCACCATTTAAAATTTTCATTCACCTGTTGTTTTGTGTCCTCTTCTGTCCTCATGAAGGGTCTCTCTAGTTTTGGTTTAAGGAAAATAGCTGTGTGCTCAGGATATAAATATAAAACTCCTTTCTGCAAATCTGACTTCAGAAATATTCATTTTTTAAAGTATTTTTTTTACTGATTTCAGAGAGGAAGGGAGAGGGAGAGAGTGATAGAAGCATCAGTGATGGGAGAGAATCGTTGATTGGCTGCCTCCTCACGCTCCCTACTGGGGATTGAACCTGAAATCTAGGCATGTGCCCTTGAGCAGGATCGAACCCAGGACCTTTCAGTCTGCAGGCCAAAGCTCTATCCACTGAGTCAAACTGGCTAGGGCTATAGAAATAATTGTTTTTGATCAGTGCCATATGCAGTATATGTCCACACTTTAAACACAAACACACACACACACACAGATATACACACACATGATCTCATTGCATAGAAAAGCATGTGTGCACCTGCAATGTGTAACCTCCTTTGGTAGCATGTACAGGGTTGGGTGCAATTTGCCTGGGATGTGGAGGGGTAATGAATTCACAGTAACGATGAGTGTTCTCTCTGGTGTTTCTCTGCAGTGTTCTGAAAGCCTCCCTGTTCGCACACTAAGCATCGCACCAGGTCAGTGCCGACCACCGAGGGTTCTGGGTAGACCAAAGCACAAAGAAGTCCACTTAGAGTGGGGTGAGTGAACGATTCTTCACAGTGGCATGGACGGTTGGAGATGCTTTGTCATTAAGTTGGAAGTCTTTCTTCTGAAAGCTGTCTGTATTTTTTTCTGTTGAAAATGTCTATATTTCTTTTTGATGTATGCTGGCTTGGGTTTGTGTTCTCCTGCTCACTGTTGCTCATTCTCCTGATCCGGATGGCGCCACACACGCTGTCCATCCTCTACCTTCAGAGGGTACTTTCCTAGAAAACATTTCAGGACAGCCAGACTTTTTCAGGGATTTTTCAACTTCATTCAAAAAAGAAAAGTTGCGTTCAATGTAGAGAATGAGGTAACAGCTAATTTCCCCTCATCCTGGCTGCTTTGTCCTATGTGGGTCTTGTTTGGATTTGAGCCCTATTAGCCTTCGTGTACCAGCAGTTTATAGCACATAAAATTGCCACTATTAACCTGCAGAGCCTTAACAGACACTTTTCCCACCACTTATGTCTAAAATATAATAAAATAGCATGCCAACTTTGGGCCAGCTATTTTGATTTAATGTGGCCTTTGGTTGAAGTTAAAAAAGAAGATTTTCTTCTCTGTTTCTTCCCTTCTTAGAATGTAAAGAAACTTACCCTATGGTTCTGTTTTTAAATTATTGTATTAAGTAATTAAATGTACTTCACTTTGGAAAGTATCCTTAACATCATTCAGAAACTTTTTGTTTCTCTTTTCTTTGGGGAGGAGGGTTTTGGGGTTTTTTGGGTAAGAAAGATACTGGGGGACTGAGGGGCACCTGCATGCTGTTTTGCAAACCTTATGGAACATCAGATGTGGAAAAGCACAGAAATGATATGATGTGAACCATCTTCCCTCCTAGATGTTCCTGCCTCTGCCAGTGGCTGTGAGGTGTCGGAGTACAGTGTGGAGATGACGGAGCCCGAGGACGTGGCGTCGGAGGTGTACCACGGCCCAGAGCTCGAGTGTACCGTGGGCAACTTGCTTCCTGGGACCATGTATCGTTTCAGAGTGAGGGCTCTAAACGATGGAGGGGTGAGTAGAAGGTTCTCATACTTCGCTTTCTACCCTCCTAAAATTCCTCGCCAGCAGTTAGCCAACCTTGACCACCGTTAAAGAAGTACATATAAAATGTTTCTTCTGACTTGATATATTGTGATTTCATACTCCCAGCATTGGAAATGTTGCTTCTATATCCTCATATCATTCTGTTAAGGTAGATTTAAGATTAATAGGAACATCACCCTTTATATGCATTTGTTAGTTGTAAAAATAATTTCCTATTTGCTCATTGATTCTAGTAATCAGTTACCGTATTTTCCGGCGTATAAGACAACTTTTGAAACGAAAAAAAGTCAACCTAAAATCAGGGTCATCTTATACGCCAAGTATATCCCGAAAACCGTCTCAATATGCCGCTAAACGAATTTTCCAACTCGATCCCGCACCAATCACTGCAAGGCTGCTCGGACCGCCTCTCCAACTCAGCCAATCCAAGCAGGCTTTTTATGCATGCAAATTATACATGTACTGTACCCGAAGCTACACTGTGTTCTAGTAAAAAGCCTGCTCAGATTGGCCAGAGTCAGAGAGGCGGTCTATTAAAAAAAGAACTGGTGTTTGCCTCGGAGGTGGGGGTAGTCTTATACAGCGAATATAGGCCTAAACCTGTGTTTTAACTGTAAAATTAGGGGGTCGTCTTATACGCCGGAAAATACAGTATGAGAAATTAGAAGTGCTATGTGAGACTCTTTTCCCATGTTGTCTAGATCATCCAGCAAGGTCTCGTGTCAGTTTTACACTGAAGTTGGGGAGAGGCTAGGGAAGCCAGCACAGGGTTGTTTTGTTCAAGTGCCTTCTTCTTTTTTTTTTTTCTTTTTTCTTTTTTTTTAAATATATTTTATTGATTTTTACAGAGAGGAAGAGAGAAGGAGAGTTAGAAACATTGATGAGAAAGAAACAAATCAGCTGCCTCCTGCACACCCTCTACTGGAAATGTGCCCGCAAGCAGGGTACATGCCCTTGACCAGAATTGGGATCTTTCAGTCCGCCGGCCGACACTCTATCCACTGAGCCAAACCAGTTAGGACATCAAGTGCCTTCTTTTGCTCCCTTTGGAATTCTCAGGCAGGCTGTTAGATTGAAAGTATATGCCTACATTATATCCATAGTAGTGTGTTTTTCCTTTTTTAAAATAAAATTACAGAGTGGTATGGATTTTGAAGAGGTGGCCCAGAGACAGTAGGGCTTTTTGGTGTGTCAAAATGGGCAGAAACGTAGAAGGCAGGGGGATATCGATAGAGCAGACTGGCAGTAACATCCCCCAAAAGTGCTGGTGATTTGTACAGATGAGCTCCATGCCAATTAATACATGTCATTAATTGATGAAAAATTTTAAAATAAGAAAACCCAACTAACAGCAACACAAAGTCAATGGTGAGTTTTTCTTGCTCTCGGTAGTGCCGTTCAAACCGGTTAGAAGCGAAGTGTGTTTTAGCCATTTCATGTTCGCCACACTGACTGAAGCATTTGGTCTGAAGTTGGATCTCAGACTTTTCACAGGAGCTGGAGTTCTTCTGATTCCCCCTTGGGAAAGCATTGGAGACACAGCACAGCTATTTAATTTAAAAAACACACGAAACTGAACAATAAAAATGTATTGATGAGAGGATACAAGAGCCTGTGCACCCAAACTTGTATAAGTGAAAAGAGAATCACAGCTGCTGCAAAAACCTTATTGTGCTTTGTTTCTGCCCTTTTCCCATTAACTTTTGGAGGGATTGCTGCCATAGCAAAGATACATGTGCAACTGTACTGATTTGCGTTTTACTTGCTCTTGCCTTTAATTAGTGTAAGGTATGAAAACTGCCTTCAGTCGTGGTTTTCTCCTGTTGTTGGAAGTTAACCGTGTGTTTGACTTCAGTCATCTGCTGAGGTCCGTTTCAGAGAACTTCTTTCCCATGTTTCTGTTTCTGATGTCACAAGAAAAGGAGAGGGATGTTTGGTAACCAACTTCCTAAACCCCTTGAATAAAAAGAATATACTTATATAATAGACATCTACCACTCAGGGAATGTATGTAGGGGAAAACATATACACACATTCCATTGAAAATGAAAAATCTCCTTAGGAAATTTTTTTAGTCAGATCTATTGGCCAAGGTTTTAGCATAACCGTTATTTGGTTATAAACTTGTATATGCACACATAGACATGAACACATACGTGTGTGCATGCACATACATGCAAGCATGTGGGTGTCCTTCTCTTTCAGTACGGCCCCTATTCTGATGCCTCAGAGATTACCACTGCTGCAGGGCCCCCCGGACAGTGCAGAGCGCCTTGTGTCTCCTTTACACCTGATGGGTGTGTCCTCGTGAGCTGGGAGGTAAGTCAGACACGTGCTCTGCATTATTTTCTGATTCTTTGACTTTATCTGTCCTGAATGCACATTAGGAGGAAACTTTTCAAAGCCCAAATTCACTATAGGTGACTTACACATATTAGTCTTCCTTGGCAGACTTCCTTGCTTATGTCATTCAGAGTTGTGGGAATTTTACCACTGGTCAGAATTAGGCGGGGGAGTGCCTCTTTCGGGCCTTTCTTCTGCATGTGTTTGAAATATCCTGGGGTATGTCACCCTGTCAGTTTGGTTGGTTGAACACACTATAGATTTTTTTCCTCAATGAAATTAAATTCCCTCAATGTCCTGCTTTCCAGAGTCCTGAAAGCTCTGGTGCTGACATCTCAGAGTACAGGTTGGAATGGGGAGAGGATGAAGAATCCTTGGAGCTCATTTATCATGGGACAGACCCCGGCTTTGCAATAAGGGACCTGCTGCCTGCCGCACAGTATTGCTGTAGACTACAGGTGAGTCTTATCTATAGACACTGGTGTTCCGTGGAAGGCTCTTTGGGAAACTTAGTAAGAGGCTGTGAGGGAAGCTACCCGGAGGGATAGTGTGGGAAAAGAGTCCTTTTAAATAAAAATGAATGTTACAATTAATGTCTGGTACTTGAGGAGGTCCTGAAATGTAAGAACAAAACCGGTTTGGCTCATTGGATAGAGCGTTGGCCTGCAGACTGAAAGGTCCCAGGTTCAATTCCGGTCAAGGACATGTACCTTGGTTGTGGGCATATCCCCAATAGGGGGTGTGCAAGAGGCAGTTGATCGATGATCCTCTCTCATCGATGTTTCTAACTCTCTATCCCTCTCTCTTCCTTTCTGTAAAAAATCAATAAAAAAAAATATATATTATAAAAAAAAAGAACAAAATCAGATTCTTCTCTGCTTCTCACCACCCTTGCATCTTGTTTGTGTATCGATTCCCTGAATAAATGAGTGAGTCCAAGACAGAGGTGTCACAGCTCCTTACAAAAGATTCCTTCTGTCTGAATTTCTCCGAAATGAACATTTCAGTGGGAAAGCACTGAGAAATGGCAAAAGATGGTGATTGTATATGTCAGCTATTAAATGGAACCGAAAACAAGCATTAGAGTAGTTTGGACTAGCCTTCATTACATACAGGGCACACCTCCCCCTTCTCAGAGACCAGAAACAAGGCTGGTTATCTGTACACTTCCACTTGGTGGTCCACATAGAATAATCAAGAACAGTTGGCTCCTAGCCTAACCCTAGGAGTAACAGTAGTCATGGGTTTACTTTTACTTTATTGACTTATATAAATGATTTTTTTCCCCTGTTTGTATTGTCCTGAGAAAACATGGTTTTTTGTGGGGTTTTTTATCCATTTGTTCAGTAACATTTCTTGAGCACTACTTGTGCCAAAGTCAAAGGATGGTCAGGATGATCAAGAGGAGAGATACAAAGATGATCAGGTGTAGTTCTTCACCTTGAAGCATTCTATGTTCACACACATTTAGATTTAACTGGATAAAGAAGCAAAGATGTCAGATTTAGGTTTTCACCCAATTTAAGTCATAGATCAAGTTGCTTATTGCAGACCCATAAACAATAAGCTTATGGTCTCTCTGGAGAAAACATCCCCTTCACACGTTAATTTTCCATATCAATTGAGGCTTTTCTGTTAAATTCTGAATCCTATTTTTATCAGAAACATTTCAGAATAAACTTTCCTTCTCATGTGGAGCAACTGGGGCATAATGCACCCTCTGTCAATGAGTCAAGGTCACAGCACATTATCTGATCTTTATAATAGTGATGCTGAGTCATTGGGAAAAGGTTAGGTAAGGCCACAGTACTGTTTCAGGAGCCAGGCAGGATATTGATAAAGAACTCTCTGTCACCATAGGAAAGAACTCCACCATGCTTTTCGAGTTTTTGTCTCTCTTTAAAACTCTTTTCTATTTCCTTTTCTCCTTTTAGGGTATATGTTGTCACTTAGCATTGACTTCCCCGCACTGCATTTATAAGATACATTGGGTAGGAGTCTGAGAAGAAGAAAGGTGTCCAGGGGTGACTTGGGAGGTGATTGGACAGCTGAAGGGTGGGGGCAGCTGCGGGAGCTGCAGTGGGCGGAGATGAGGAGCTTTGAGGCTGAGATGACATTGGAGTGGAGACACCCGAAAGGTAGTTGTATACATTAGGCTGGCATTTAAGACAGAGGTCCAAACTACCCACGTAATTTTGGAAGGTAGGATATCAATACCATCTGTCCCATAGCCCTCCAAGAGTTTGAGCGGAGATAGAAAAGAAGAGGTGTGAAGGCTTGAAGCCTGGTGCCCTCCAGTGTTGAGAAATCTGGGTGATGCAGAGCAACCACATAGATGGCTGAGAAGCAGCAGTAGGAAATCAAAAAATGAGTATAGGGCCTGGAGATCAAGTGAAAGAGTGGTGAGTGAGGAAGGAGTCAGCTATTGCTCTTAGGTAAAGTCAGAAAGGGCTGAGAATTGACGTCAGATATGAGTTTTTATCTTTCATGTGGGAAAACATAAGAGACCTTTTCTAAAATTCCTATTGCTCTTCCAGGACAGCACTGGGATTGAAAGTCAGATGACTGAATTCCAGTCCCAGCTTTGCCTAAATCTATGAAAGGCAAATAAGGATACTTGCAATGCATTCTGTGCCTCAGATGGTTATTGTGAAGGTTGTATAAGACAGTATGTAACCTGCAGTGGGCCATACAAATAGAAAAGATTGTTTTAAAATTATTTTTCTTGAAAGGTGACGATGGCAATATTATTACCTTTTGCTTACTAGAAAAGAGGTGATTGGCTTTTTTTGGAAAGTGAACATTTTCTAGGATTTATTTCTATCTACATTTCTGGAAGTAAATTGTATACTATTTATTTAGCAGCACCTAACATGGAGGCCTTCAAGTGTACAATGGTGTAATATGGGCTTTTCTTGCTGTTGTCTTTTAGGCCGTCAATCAAGCTGGAGCAGGGCCGTACAGCGAGCTTGTCCTTTGCCAGACACCAGCATCTGCCCCTGACCCTGTCTCCACAATCTGTGTCCTGGAGGAGGAGCCCCCCAATGCCTACCCCGATTCACCTTCTGTGTGCCTTGTACTGAACTGGGAGGAGCCGTGCAATAATGGATCTGAAATCCTTGCTTACAATATTGATCTGGGAGACACTAGCATCACCGTGGGCAATACCACCACCCACATTCTGAAAGATCTTCTTCCAGAAACAACGTACCGGTGAGTGCAGGGAGGGAGAAATAGGACTGTAGGGACCCATCATTACTGGAGCTCCACACCCTTCATGTTCTAAAGGCCAAATGAGTGAATGCTGGCCATTCTTAATTAACATATATGAGTACTAAGTGCATATATAGCTCTAAAAGTTGTATTGCTTTATACTTTGAGTCGGTTACAAATTTACCCAGTTTCACCCATCACTTTAGATCAGTTGCTCTCTCTCGGTCTCTTGAAAGCCACTTTTCTTTGTATTTTTACTGTGATTCATATCCATCTGTGGACACCCTCTGTCCTCACCATGTACTTGCCCACCTCTGAAGCAGGGCTCCACTCCTCTTTAATTCCTCCCCAAAAGCAGACACAGTTTTAAAAAAAATATATGACGTGGCTTTTACTCAGGATTTCCCAAGAGGCCAGAAAAAGATACATCACACAACACAAGTAAACCCTATGAACAGCTGCGTGCTTTCCTTCCCCCAGTCTTCCAATCCAGAGCCAGCCATCTGCCTTCCTCTCCTCACACACCTTCTTCTGTAACATGGCCTCTTAAAATTTCAAATCATTTAGCCCTCTCTCCACGTTGCCATAACTCGTTCAACACAAGTTCAGCGTTAGAGGATTGCAGGGACCAGCTGTGGTTGTACATGTGTCAAAAGGCATCCTTCTGTCAAAAGAAATGGTTTCTCAGGGAGAACCTCCCTTGGGCCTCAGTTTCTTCTTCCATGAAGGAGAAGAACAAAATTGCTAACCTCATAAGCATGTTGTAAGGAGTAAGTAAATTAATATTGAGCTTGAGGCCCGATGCATGAAGATTCATGCAAGAATGGGCCTTCCTTCCTCTGATTGCTGGCACCGCCTTTGCTCTGGTCCCTTTCTGCTCCGACTGGGAGCCGCCATTCTACCTTCCCACACTGCCCAGAGGCTCAGAAAAGCTGGGGTGGTGCTGACCACCTATATCCATTGCCATGGTGACGATGATGCCTGTGTATGCAAATGGAACCGCCATCTTTGTTGTAATTTGCATACTCCTAATTGGCTGGTGGGTGTCGTGAAGGTGTGGTCAATTAGCATATTACTCTTTTATTAGGTAGATACTTCTACACAGCCCAGCAGTATATAGCAAGTACACAATAAACATGCATTGTAATTTTCGTCATCATTAAGATCACCATCAAACAAGACTGATTCTTCCTGGGGTATGGAAGGGCAATGAATGGCAGGCAAATAAACTTGCTGCTAGAAAAGGACTTATCATTTCACTTATCCTTTTTGACAGTGTTTTCTAGTCCAATAGTCTGGTACACTACCTTTTCTTTTTCTAAAAACTGAAGAAAGAATTGGCTACTCGGTTGTGAGTGACACAAGTTCCATCCTGCGATATCATATTATCTCTACTCTTTTTTTCTCTCTTACCAAATTTTTTTGTGACTGATTCATATAAATATATTTTTTTGCTTTTTAAAACAATGACAGGGTGTTTGTGGGGGGGTTTTCCTACTCTTTTATTCTTTTATAAAGTCTCTTTTGAGCACAGCACTCTACACTATGAGTCTGTCTGTGAAACAGTGATAAACAATATTCTTGCCTGCAGAGCACTCAGAGTTGGGGGACACTTAAACAGCAACCGAAAACGGTAGGTTATTGTGACATCACAGACTGCAAATAACACTGTGACGCCGTCCTGTTGCCATTTCAGAGAGCAAGTCCCAGGTTCAGAATGGCCAGGAAGGTTCACAGCGGGATTTGAAATAGGAACAGAATAAAGGGGGATATGACTTACATAGGTGAAGAGGCAGCCAAGGGCAGTATAACCTTTTAAGTCAATCTCAGAAAAGCAGTCTTCACTCTTGCATGCTAATCAAATATAACTGCTGTTGTGTGCAGAGCAGTCCAGTCAGGTGCTGAGGAAATGATTAAACCTTGACTTCAAGGAATTTCCCCGATGATAGTGCTGAGGTATATTTCTGGGGGGAAATGACCACATCACTGTCATCCTCCAGCTGGTTTTAAGAGACCAGGTGCTTGACCTTGATCCCTCAGGCTATGAGGAGGCCACACTGGTGTAAGGACTCACTGGAAGGTTCTGTGATCAGTCTGCTTCACAGACATGTCTACCCTGGAATGAACACAAATCCCCAGGCCAGGGCTCTGAGCCTTCGGACCAGAAATCATAAAAAGGGCTCTTAGAGTAAGTGCTAGCCTAGGAATTCTACCTCTTCCTTGACATTGTACCTTCTGTAAAGGTGGCATATGTGATTATAAACTTTAAGATTTATAGATGGGTGATATTGGAGGAATGTTGACTTTTATTAGTCAACATACAGTCAAATGACTTCTAGAAAGATATTCGGAATTCAAATGAAGGAACTGATGCAGGGAATCATTGCCTCACGATGAAATGCCAATTATAGTGGAAATTATAAAAAATCCTCCATGTGTTAAAAAGTTTCTTGGGATAATTCTATTATGGAGAAGATGAAATGGTTCAGTCGTGTAGGGACTATGGGAGAATGAACTTAATTTAGATAATACCTCAAGACTCTAATTTTAGAGTACTTATTGGATGGAGCTAAATAATTTAATATTCTGTATTAATATGCAAAGCATATTGAGCTGAATTGGGAAGTCACATTAGGAGAATGTCACCTTTCAACCTTAGAGATAGCTTGAAAGATACCATTTTAGATAAACTGCATGAAAATGGAAAGGCAGGTCTTTGGCTTTAGTTAAGTTGTTCGATTTTTTTCCCCCCTACCCTATCCCTAAGAAAAAGATTTAGCCTTAGTCTTCACTGGTCATTAAATAAATAAATAGAGTATTTCATACTTAAGATACTAAAATTAATATTCAAATTCAAGATAATCTTTATACAACTTTATACTGGTTTCTATAGTATACAAATGAGTACTCTATACTAGGACTCCAGTTAATTATGCTCTTGTTCTTTTGTTTCAAAGACAAAATTGCAACAATTATAGTGAAATACAAAATGAGTATTTCAAGGAACAAAGGATGTAATTTTGGTCCAATCAACTTTTGCCTCACCTTTTTCTGACCCATAAATTTGTTAAAATATAAATGAACAGATCATGATGTTCTAGATAAAAATGAGGAATGAAGCATTGTAAGCAGGCCATGGAGCTTTGGTAAAGGACTTGTTTCTTTGGTTTGATTTATTTTTTATTTTTTTTTTTATTTTTTTTTTTTGTAGTTACAGATTGTTCTCATACTGAATTTTTTTTTTTTCCTCCATCTTGCATCTTGAGAGAACAGGAATGTGCACCTCTCTAACAAACCTACTGATGCAAAGGGTATTTTGATTGATACATTGCTTCTCCATTGGTTCTTGCAAAAATACCCATTGGCTTACTAACACGCTGTTTGGAATTACAATGCTGTTTTTAAAGACCTTACTTTTAAGCTTAGAACTGAGTTTGAAATTGAAGTTGTTTTGGTTTGAGGGGGAAAAAAAAACAACTTTTTTTGAAACGGAGATGTAGCTTTCTTTTGCATGCCACAGACATAGTCTTTGCCAGCTGATTGAGACAAGATTACATGGTGTCACCCATTCCCAGCGTCCTGGCTCCAGCATTCCCAGTCTGGACAGTGGTTCCGGATGCTAATCACCAAGCAGTCCCTGCCACTTGTGAATAACTATTTCGTCAAAGCCTCTCTCCATCTGAAATCTGCCCAATTGATCTTGGGACCTCCTCTAGAATAGTGATTCTTAAACTGTGGTTTCTAAACCAGCAATATCAGCATCACCTAGAAACTGGTTGAAATGCAAATTATCAGGCCCTACAATAAACCCGTGTTCGGCAAACTGCGGCTCGTGAGCCACATGCGACTCTTCGGCCCCTTGAATATGGCTCTTCCACAAAATACCATGGCCTGGGTATATTTTGAAGAAGTGGTGTTAGAAGAAGTTTAAGTTTAAAAAATTTGGCTCTCAAGAGAAATGTCAATCGTTGGACTGTTGATATTTGGCTCTGTTGACTAATGAGTTTTCCAACCACTGCTCTAGACCTGCATCAGGTGTGGTCAGACACTCTGCTTAAATAGCCCTGCAGGAGATTTTGGTGCATGTTAAAGTTTGAGAACCTCTGCCCTTGCTTTGGTTCTTGAATGTTAATTATATAAAAATCACCGGTAGTACTTTCGCATCCTGTGTAGACTGTGCTTTGGTGATCCCAGCACACTTAGTCATCATTATCTTAACAACATCAGCTGTCTTCTATTTCACCATCCTCACTTCATTCACTTTCGTCTAGACTGGTGTGGGTTTTCTGTAACCTCCTCCATCCTCTTCATTGGCGAGTCTCGTTTCTTGATGGTCCCTTTAATGTGCCCAGACCTCCAGGAATGGAGCTGGCTGGCTGGCTGGCTCAGAGGAGAGAAAGACTGTCACCTTACTTGTTTTCCAAATGGAACAGTTAGTAAGGTTGCCTAACATTACTTTTTTTGGCCACCTCATTATATGTCTGACTCATACTGAGCTGGCAAACAAGGCAAGGTAGAGTTGTTTGTTATGCTCATTTATGCTCTTTTTGCTAGGGAAAATTGGGTGGAGGGGGAGATCACACTTATTGAGTCTTTACTCTATGTCAGGCACTACATTAGCCTGTCAAGAAGTGAATCACAAGTCATTTCATCCTAACAAGAAAAGATGGGCTTTATTAGGAGACAGATTCTGAATAGTTCAGAAGTCAGACAGACAGCCTTGACTTCAGTCCTGTGTCTCTCACTATTGTCCCTGTGACCTCTGGCAAGTCATTAAACTCTGTGCCCCAGTTTTCTGCTCTGTAAAACAGGATACAAACTTTAACTATCTAATAGGGTGTTGTGTGTTTTAGATAAGATTTCAGGCATTTCCTATGGGACTTGGTACATGGTAAGTAAGCACTCAATACATTATGTCACTGATGCTTGGGAGGGAAGACGTGACCAGGTTACAGGTAGAATGTCTGGAAACCTGGCATTTTCCTTTAAGCAATGGGAGATATTTAAGGTCCCTGTGCCCCCTCAAGGCAGGGCAGGAGACAAAAGCAAATCAAAGTGCCCAGAGACAGAAAGGTGGCCCTGCATCCATGGGGCTGTCAGGAGAAGAGCCAGCTCAGGTTACCCTTCCAGGAAGCCTTCTCTGAATAGCTGTGCTATAAACACACCTTCCCCCAAGAGATTTCTGATGTTAATGCTCCTATTTTTTTAGAAGTTATCTGATGATGATTCTCCTGTCATATTTTTCTCTTCTTTAATTAGATGATCGGATGTTAGATTGGGCATGGGGATGGTGGGGAGTGTAAAAAGCTCATGTTTTGCTTATTAAACCTCTCCTACCTCATCCCTTGATGGGAGAAGGGGGCTGTCCTCCCTGCCTCCATCTCTATACCCCAGACATCCTGAGTACCAGGATGGCTGATGGTGGCCGAGAAGTCATCTTTCCCAGGTGGAAGGTTTTGTTCTGAAAGTCATTCTTCTTTTAATACAGATGGTGTCAGATTTTGTGTGTGTGTGTGTGTGTGTGTGTGTGTGTGTGTGTGTGTGTGTGTGTAGAGTGCCTTATGGAAGGCTATGATTGGAAGCAGTTAGACGGTAGATATTTTAATAGATTTTTTATAAAAATTTATTTTAAAAAATATTCATTTTTTAAGATTTTTAAATTGATTTTTAGAGGAGAGAGAGAGAAACATTGATGTTAGAGCAAAATTTTGATCATCTTTCTCCTGCACACCCCCCACTGGGGATTGAGCCCACCAGCCAGATATGAGCTTGGATTGGGAATCAAACTGGTAACTTATTGGTGCACTGGATGACACCCAAACAGCTGAGCCACACCAGCCAGGATAACAGTGTTCTTAATTTGATTTATTTAATCAGTATTATCAGTGTATTGATGGCCATTGCAAGCTTCTGGCTTTTGAACAGATTTTTCACATCAGTCTAGCCAAGATAGGGTTTCTCAGCATTACATCACCTTCCTAAATTGGAAAGCAAAATTCCATTTCCCTTAGACTTAGTTTGCGGAGCTTAAGATTTCAAAAACTGATATGCAGTGCATGTTTAAAAAAAAGAAAGAAAGAAAAAAACCCTGTGGAGCCTATCTGAATTTCAGAATTAACATGTTACTTCAGCTAAGAGAAAACATCTCAAATTTGGGTTTGGATAGACTTTAATTTAATAAAATTTGAAAACAAGTTTTGAATTCTTGGACTTGTTCCTCAAGGTATTTTCTTCTTAGCCCCAAGTGAGCTCTCTCTGGCATTAGGAGATTATTTTTACTTATTGCATTTTTTTTTTCTTCAAAAACAAAATGAACAGTCACCACCTTAGTCTTTGTTCTGTTCTCTCAGCATTCTGGGCTCAGTTTCATGTGCTCACCAGCATGTAAGAAGACCTGGCCTCCTTTCACTGTATTGGTTTCTCAGTTCCACTTCAGTTGGCGTGTGACTTTATCATTAGAACTAATTAACGTCCAGTGCCTCCACTACATGAAAAAATGTTTCCCATGCATTTTTACTGAAACAAAATGTGTTTTTGTATAAATGGAAGAAAGTTGAAGTATTTTAAAATCTTGGTAGTTGATTTCAAGGCAAAAAGTTATTTACTAAATAATGTGAGAATACGTTTGTTGGCTGTTTTGTCTGTTGCATTAGCAAAAGGCAGTTGTTGAACTGAAAGTGTGGGTTGAATTAAAATTGTCTTTTGATTGGATTAGAAGCCTTGTGTGGCCCAGGTTGTTAGGCGAGTATGGCATGCCAGAATGCACAAAGACTTGGAGGCTAAGAAGACCCTGTTCTCACCCAGATCGGGCCTGTGTCCACTGTGTAGATCAGGGCAAATGACTGAACTTAGCTGCTGCAGTTCATTCACTGGTAAGATAGACAAGTAACTAATTCCTTCTTACCTCTTGGGGTAGGTAGAAATTAGAGAAAAGTACATATTAAATCTAGAGTTCAGCACCTAGTATCCATGGGGTCGTCAGGTTGAGTCATTTAACTTCTCTGAGTTTAACTGCAGTTATCGCATCTCTGAAGGAAAGAGAAAGGGCTGCTGGTTCCTACTCACAGCACAGCTCCTTGGGCAGAGCAAGTGTTCATGTTGTTTGTTGTGATGGTCATTGATGGTTACTGTTAATATTTTCAGCTGTTCCCAAGCTCTTTGTCTCACCCTCACCTTCTGAGGATGATTTAAAAAGCCAGTCCTTAGCCGGGTCCTTGGCCATAATTTAGAGGAAGAAAGAACATAGATGGTATCAGCAAATTGTTCAAGTTATTCTGTGAGGCAGTGTAATAATGCAACTAAAATGAAGACCAGAGTAGTGCCACTCCGCGCAGGTGCTCAACACGTTTTCTTCACTTTTAGAGGGGAGTGGTGGTCCCAAAAGGAGTCATAAGAATAACAACTGAACAACTCCATAAATTAGCCCTTTAAAGTTCACCGAAGTGCTTTTGAGTTCTATTCTGGTTGCGTGGTGTAATAAAAAGTATTTTTAAAAATATAAAGTGCTTTCCATATCCCTTTTCTTAAGCAGCACTGTTTATACTGTAAATGCAGCAAAGATATCCCTAACCTCACTTTATACTTAAGAAAGTTGTGACTTAAAGGTCTTAGATAATTTCCCCAAGGTCACCAAAGTGAGGAGCAGGATTCCCATTGCTAAAGAGACCTAAAATGCTACTGTGATACTCTTATTATTGCTATTTTATATGAAAGTCGGAAACTCAAACTGAAACACATGATTTTTCTCTGAGTGGAATGCAAAGGTAGTTTCTTTCTCGGGTTTCTTTCAAAGGTGGTTTCTTTCCATATACCACCTTTTGCCCGGTGAAAAATGAAGCCATGGGCAAAAGGTGGTGTATGGAAAGGTGGAAATTTATTGGAAACAAGTACATTTATTGGAAACACATACAGACTCCCTCATGGGAAGGGGGTCCCAAAGGGATAACCCACTAAGCACCTTTTTCTTAATGTTTATAAAGTCTACAGTTCTTGGTCTTTTGAAAATCCCTTCTTATTGGTAGTTTCAAAGCTACTGGACTGCAAGACGGTGCAGGCTGGGCTGAGGGACCCTCTCCCCACCCCCCACATAGGGCATGAATCTCATGCACTCTAATATTATTATAATGACTTGCTAAATTATGTGAACTTTACATTTGAAGAATTAGCCCTTTTAAGGTCACAGACTTCATTTAGCTATAGTCATACTTAAGTGATATTTCCTATTATCATTATATATATTTAATATGTATAATATATAAGCAATAATTGTTGTAAATGAGAAGTGCATAAATCTATATTATAGGAATATTTAAACTAATCTGTTTGCTAAGAATTTATCTCTTTGACTATATTTTTTATTATCATGTGCTTTAAAACACTTTCAAATTCAACTCAATTCAATGTGACATCACACTGCCCAGTACATAGCTAGCAGGCGTTCTGGTGGAGGTTCCACTGGAGGCCCTGTCAGGGGCGTGAGGCAGAGGAGGAGATGCAGACCTGGAGTGGTTGTGAAGAAGGTGAAGCTGTGGAGGTATCTGAGGCTAACAAGAGAAATGCCCATATTGTACAGGAGAAGGGAGGGAGAGCAGATGGAGGGAGGGCTGTGCGTAAGCACTTTGGTCTAAGTAGAGGAGAATGCCTCCAAATGTCAGGAGGAAACAAGCTTCAAGAACATTCTGTCACTGCAGGAAGAGGGTCAAGGATGAGGATGTAGCAGTGCCATCAGTGCTTTGTATGATGACCTCACAGAACCATTTCAACCAACTAGGAAAGAAATAAAGGAACGAAAACAATAGAAATAATAAGATGTTAATTTATATATGCACTGTAACTCTATTTGGTTATAAATTCCTAGACCATGAGGGCAGGGTTAATGTCTTCATTACCCATAACCGGCCCAGGGTAAACATCCAGTTGAGATTTTGCACATCTGTACATCACCCTGTAGCCAGCACTGTTAGCATTTGGCTCTGGGGAAGGATAGCAGAAATGCTGGGTGAGTTGGAGAAGGGAGGGGAAATGCCCTGAGGAAGAGCTGTTTTCTTTTGTTTTGAACTGAAGGAGACTCATTTGTTCTCTATTCCATTTACTCTTTATAGCCCAGTTACTTCCCAAAACTGACTGGGAAGCAGCTGAAGGATGGCTGAGCAAAATACAAAAGCATGTCTTTAGAATGTCTTACCTCAGACAACAGCCTTTTCTTTTCTTTTTAATTAAAGAACTAAGGATTATCTTGCTGATGTGCTCCATTTTTTAAATTTTTTGCTCTTTTTTTTTTTTTTGAACAGAGTATAATCTATCCCCTTTGCTGCCCATTCTCTATTTGTCCTGAACTACTTTAATTTGTTTTTCTAATCCCATGATATTGTTTTAGGGGCGAGTAATAAATACTCCACGGAATGTTTTTTTCACATGAGGAATTGCTGCTTCTTAAACCTGTAATATTTTTATTTATTTCTTTTTCCAGGATCAGGATTCAGGCCATAAATGAAATTGGAGCTGGACCCTTTAGTCAGTTCGTTAAAGCGAAAACTCGGCCGTTACCACCCTTGCCTCCTAGGCTCGAGTGTGCTGCAGCCGGGCCCCAGAGCCTGAAGCTGAAGTGGGGAGACAGCAATGCCAAGACGCACGCTGCCGAGGACACGGTGTACACCCTGCAGCTGGAGGACAGGAACAAGAGGTAGGGCCGGCGGGGAGGGTGTGGTGGGCGGGAAAGGCTGTGGCTCTGGCTTTGGGAGGAAGCCCTCTGGTTTATTGTACTCCGTTGTGGAAAGATTGCCTGGGTCGTTAGGTCCTGCATTTTTTTTACTCAAAGTTATACCTTCTAGTCCTCGCTTGGAATTTCTAAAACAACCTTCTAAAGATCCTGATTGCCCTACATGTGATAATATATGTGTTTGTTTCTCCTTTCATAACGTCAAATGATGGAGAGAAATTATCTAAGAAGGAAATTGTCAAATTCATGTCTACACTATGTAATAGCATTAAATTAGTCACAAGTGCAGAGGGAAATAAGACCCAGAAAGAGACGTTATGTCTTTAAATATTCAGTAACCATCAGGACAAACATGTTTACCAATCTGAAATAGCTGCGGTGATTTACAGATGGGGATTATACTCGTAACTGTGGGCAATGCAATATCAAATTAACCAGAGAAAATAGGAAATTCTTCATAAGACTCCAACCCCGGGAAACACTCTTAGCCACAGAAATCATACCCAGCCCTTCACATAGTATTTATTTAACCTGACTTCATTTCCTCTGAAAATGGCTGGTCATACAATGGGCGGCTGACCTGTATTTAAGAATAATTCAGATGCAGAACAAACGTTAATGACAGAATGTTCTATTACCAAAAGTCCAAATCAAAGAAATCAGGGGAAGAGGTGGACCAGACACAGGTTGCTGCTTCTCTACAGAGCACCTGCTGAAGCACAGAGCCAGTGTCAGTATTTCTGTCATTTCCCCTACATGCGTTATAGTGTCCCATTCCTTTATGTGGAGTGCTGGTTTTAGGGAGCACAGAGCCCTTGTCCAGCCGCCCCCTCCACTCTACTCGAGAGCTTTGATTCCTTTCAGTGCAAGGGGATTCTGCAGTATGGAGGGCGCAGTTTGAGGTGAGTCTTCCATGGGTCAAGAAAAAATCGAAGCCCTGCTTCCAGGAGCATAATATCAAATGGTCATAGAACATTTTTTTTTTCAATTTGTCATTGTAATAAAAGAGTTCTGGGATATGGAGGAGGCAGATATAGGAGAAAAGTGCTCTGGGAGTTTGAAGGAAGCAGAAGACCATCTGGTTGCAAAGATCAACAGGTGACATTTGAACTTGACTCTGAAGATCTGTCAAACCCAGTAGTTTGATTACAAAAGAACAAGAAATGATGGTCCTACTGGAAAGTAGTCCTGATGAAGCCAGCCCAGAGAAGAGGGGCTTCTTTTGATAGGCTCATGAGAGATTAAGGCATACTCACTCAAAGACCAGATCATCCATCTGACTGGGCTGTGTGCCGAGGATGTATTTTCCGGGCTCATTATTTTACTGACAGGGGACTCCTCAAACTAGAGAAAACTCCCAATAATAGGAATTCTGGATTAACAGAACACATGATAATAAGTAAAGCTAGCATTTGGGAGAATTTATAAATAAATGAGCCTTTGTGTTTTTTCCTGGACTTTTGGCTTCCTTTGGTGGTAGAGAGAACCTTCCATAGAGAATGCTTTTAGTTGTAGTAGAGTGAGCAGCCACCTCCATCCGGCTGCGGTCCTGTCCTGTGCGGGCAGCCACCTGTGGTGCCTCATGCAGAGAAGTGTGCAGATGCTCAGAACAAAAGCTGTAGGAGCATTGGTCCAAACGAGCATGTTGTCATAAGACATTTAAACATGCCAGAAAGAAAATAGTGCAGAATGTAGTAATCAATACACGCTCTTTCCTACCCCCAAAAAAGCACTCAAGACTGGACTTTTAATCAAATAAATGACTCGCCTAAATTTAAATGGTAATTTAAGAAAACTTACCATTAGGAACAGTATTTTTCTTAATTTTATGAGCTAAAATACAGATTTATCTTTTTAAAATTAGATTTGTCAGGGCTCTCAGAAAGTTATTAAAGTGATGGGAATATAGAGCATAATAAATTCTCATTCTATTTGTGGAGTAATATTCCTGGGATTTAATAGGCTGAAACTTGGTCTAATTTGAGATTAAAGATGGACCCTCCTTAGTTTCTTGAAACTGACTCTTGCAGTGAATGACACCTCGAATCCAAGCTTTTAACTTTGGACCTTGACTCACGAGGATCAGGGAGGAACCATCTGAGTTGGATGCAGCAGAGTGCTTGTTAGCACCGTTTTTGTCAGTGCTGGTTCTCTCCGGGTTCTTTAGGACTTGCACCTGGCCTGCTCAGTTGAAAGGAACAATGTCTTCTTCCACAGTGGCAGTTGTCTTTTTCATTGAACTTATTGCTAAAGGGGTTTCTAGTTATAGGTTTTAGAGCAAGTGTACACATCTTTAGCATCTGTGTTGATTTCATTAATTTCACTAGTAAGTCTGCTTATGGATGTAGCACAAATATTTGTCCTGCTTATGGCCAAGGTGAGAACCAGAGATTGACCTGTCATTTTAATTGACTACTCACCAGCCACTGGGCATTTGAACGTACAGCAGCTATACCTGAGTTGTATAGCTATCCTAGACAGCTATGCAAGTAATCTTAGTCTTAAGACCTATTTTGCAATAGAAGCACAATAAAAATTAATATTTCTATGCTTGGTATTTTTCAAACTAAAGAGGTGAGCTGATTTTGGCTGCTAAACTATTGGTCTTAACTTTTCCCTCATACATAAAATAGAAGTTGATGTTGTAGATCATTTGTGAGCTAAATCCACCACCCCCCCCAAAAAAAAAAAATGTCTCTTGTTAAAAATGGTGTGTTACCTGCCCAACCTGTGTGGGTCAGTGATTGAGCATCAGCCTGTGAACAAACCAGAAGGTTGAGGTTCAATGTGGGGTTGGGGTGTATGCTGGGTTGTGGGCTTAGTCCCCAGTGGGGGAGGGGAGGTGGAAGGCAGCCAATCAATGATTCTCTCTCATCGTTGATGTTTCTCTCTCTCTCTCTCCCTCCCTCTTTCTCTCTCTCTCTATCTCTCTCTTTTTCTCTCCCTCTCTCCCTTTCTCTCTTTTTCTCTCTCTTACCCTCTCCCTCCCTCTGAAATCAATAAAAATATATTTTTAAATGGCATGTTACCTCTCTTTTCTTCATATTTTAGCTTCTGCTTTAGACAAGTAAGAAAATAATAAGATACTAACTTTCCTTAAGAGTCCAAAACTTTCTGAAATGACCCAGAAAGTTCTAAATATAATGTTGGGCCAAAGATTTATTTTCAGACTTTCTATTTATTGAGAATCTGCCAAGAGCCAGGCATTGAGGTTTTTGTCCACATTATTTGGTTCTTGAATAAGAAGTGAAAATTTTTCATGGTGAGAGAATATCTACTAAAGCCTTCCACTGTCTAGGTGGAAAAAAAAAAAGTATTGTTTTTAATAGATTGACTGGATTTCAACTTATGATTATTAGAAGTTTTATACACGCAAAGGAAGAAAATGTGCTTGTGAATTGCCTAGACAAGGTGGACCCCTCCCTTAAGGAGCTCGCCCGGTGAGGGATAAGTAGAAGGGACAGGCACATTCAGGCAACTCATGATGTAGGAAGCTGAAAGACTGACAGTCTGCACAGCATTTGGGGAGGAAGAAGAATAACATCTATTAAACCCTTAAAATCAGATGAACAGAGGAGGCTTTTTAGAGAAGGTACCAGATTACTTGAGTCTAAAAAGGTCCAAAATCTTACAATCTCCTGCAAGAATGCCGTAGGAAGGATGGGAACTAAAGATAAGCACTCAGGACTGGCTGGATAGAAACCAAGGGTATATATAGACTCCAAAGCACAGAAATGAGCCCTGGATCTTTCTCAAGTAAATGATGTCTCTCCATTCTGCTACTTGACGCATTGCTCTGTTTAAAGGTGAGCAATTTCATGTCAATAGAAAGAAACACCAAAGGGCATCTTTTCCAAATCCCTGCCTCAAACTAAATCAACCGAGAATCCATCCAGATCCCCGATAGTTGCTGTGTTGAGTGTGCTTCCCCCTTGAAACGGACATTTGTTTCCCATGTAATGAGGCTTTTCACCCACAGGTTCCCAGTCTAAGGTCACTGGCTATGTATTATGTGTTAGCCTCAAAGCTGTGCTTTATTTGTACAGGACTATGTTTAGCCCTAGGAGTTAGATTATCATCACACCATCATACTTTTTTTTTTTTCTTGAATTACTATGGTGTGCTAGGTCTTATGAGGTATGTGGCTTATCTTTAAGGAGTTTATCTTTTGAGAAAATAAATTAATGTGAAGTAATGAACAGACATCATAAGAGAATTTAATTCCAAAGAAAAAATAAAATTATATTAATTTGTTTAGAGAGTGATTAAGTGCATTATTCTTAGCAGATTGAGCACAGAAGGTCGGAATGTCTTTGATTCCTGTGTATGCGAGAAAAATAAAACCCAAAGTAAACATTTTCATAATTCTGTGCTAACCTAATACAGGGATTAGAATAACAAGGTCAGCTCGTGCATTTTAAGGTTGTAACACTGTACTGATGGTTTTGAAGATGCATTTGTCTGTGTTACTGAAATGAAATGTTACACTGGCCTCACAGAATTTGACTTGATGCTGATTCTTGTCCTGACCCTCCTGGGTCCATGTTCCTGGTAATTGTACACACCACTGCGGCAAGGGGAAGTTAAATTCCAGGAATGCATTTATGGCTCATCTGTTGTTCAGCTTTAGTCAAACAGCTAGTGTATTTTAAAATAAGGCTCCAGCAAAATAGGGCTGGGCAAAGGGCTCTAATTGAGTGGATAATTACCACTTGCTCCTTGATAATTACCACTCAGCCCTTGAGCTCCTGACACTTTTCCCTTCAGCAGCGGAATCAGAGGGGCTTTGTAATGTCTCTCTGTTGGTAAGGGACAGAAGGCAATCTGCATAAATTAACCCTGAGAAATACACACCGGCAACTAATAAAAGTGGGCAGGTTGCATGACCACTGTGGGAGGAAGGAACTTGCTTAAGCATGCCTATTACTGAACAAGCTCCTGCTTATATTTCTCAGAGCATATTG